CTGCTTACACCCCACTCCCAAGCCCCCAACACCAGTTTGCTCCTTGTTGTTTGTTATTGTTTGGTGCCGTGGAGTTGTAGACAACTCATAGCGACCCTATGAACGAACAGCCTGAGCACTGTTCGTACATAGAGTTTCCGGAGGCAAGCCATTTCGGAAGTGGATGCTGCTCCTGCTTCCAGGCTTGATTTAGTCGGGAAGCTCCAGCCAACACTGTCCACCATGGGTGCCCATTACCACGATTGGCACATCACTGTCACAGGCTTCAGCATCACAGCAACCACGAGTTACCTCAGTTTGCTCCTTGAGGCAAGAATTCTGAATCTCTGTCTCACTCTCACATACCTTGGGCATGTCACCAGGAGGGACCAGTCCTTGGAGAGGGAACATCCTGCTTGGAAGGGTGGAGGGTCAGCTCAGGAGAGGAAGAGCCTGGACCAGATGGACTGATACAGTGACTGTGGCGATGGGTCAGGTGTGTCAGAGATAGAGCTAGGTGAGGCTCAGGACAGAGCAAGTTCAAGGCCATTATTGTTCATAGGGTCACTCTGGGTCTTGGTCGACTCAATGGCACACAACAACAACAACATGTTTTGAGTATTTGCAGAGGAAGAGATTGCCCGTCCTTCTCCCAAGGAGCAGCTGGTGGATTCAAACTGTGTGCCTTCGGGATTGCAGCACAGCTTCTTGCCAATAGGCCACCAGTGCTCCTGAAAACACTATGTTTTGAGGATTTCTTCTCCGGCCTTGGGTGTGGATTCCGTGGAGCGGTCCGCGTGGCAGAACAGAGCTCTGTGGTGTTTCCTAGGGGGAATGAGGGTCTGGAGGAGGAGAGGGTCAGATAAAGGGAAGACCCCCAACCAGGTCGCTCGACAGACTGGTTGTGGTGGTGGGCTCCCGGGGCAGAGACTGTGAGTGTGGCAGGGTCAGGAAGGGGGGGAGGGGTGTCTGATCTGTTGCACCTGGCGTGGCTCCAAGTCAGAGCCAAATCCATGGCACCTGACAATGACAACCGTCTTGACAAAAGCAGATTTCTAGGCCTTTCTCTCTTGAAGCAGTGGGTGGGTTCAAACCATTGACCTGTCTGTCAGCTCTACCAGGGCTCCTGCCCTAGCCTTGAGGGCAGGGGTTTGCATCTGAGCTGTGCTCCCGCTAGGTCCCAGTGAGGTCTCAGTGACTGTTGGGGAGCCTGTTTTAAAGTGCCATCCAAGGATTGCCTGTCTGACAAGGCTTGGATCTGTGGTTATACTCATTGTGTAATAAGGAAACAGACCAAGCAAGGTGGAACCAACGCTGCATGCAGAGACTGCGTGGTTGGGAGAGGTGACATTGAAGCCCGCCCCCCACCCCGGGGGCTCCATGATCATCAATGCTCTGTGCCCCAGCAGTGACAACGGCTGCCCCCCTCAGACACTGAGGCATGTGAAGCCCTCAGCGTGTTGCTCCCCTGCCAGAAAGCCACACACAATTCTCCTGTGGTTCAAATCCGCCCACAGCTCCTTGGGAGAAAGATGGGCCTGCAGGCACCTCATGTAAAGAGTTACAGCAGGAGCTCTGGTGGCCTAGTGGCAAGAAGCTGCACTGTAATCTCAGAGGTACGCGGTTTGAATCCACCAGATGCTCTGCTGGAAGAGGAGGGGTAATCTCCTCCTGTACCAGCCAGATCTGATTTGATGCTACACAAAAAAAAAATAATAAAATAAAATAATAGTAATAAAAACGTTACAGCTTCCCAAATCCCAGGAAGGGTTGCACCCTGGGGAGGGTGGCACCCTGGAGAAGGTGGCACCCTTGCGAAGGTTGCCATGAGCTAGTCTGGTTTTTCACTTTAAAGAGCTCTCGTGGTGCTTGGTGTATGTGTGGGGTTGCAGACAGAAAGAAGGATGAGTCCGTCCCCATGGAGAAATGTCAGAGGGAGGATCACTCTGAGTTGACTTGGTAGCCGTGGGGTTTGGGTCTTTGGGAAGATAGGGGGTCAGAGTCTCTGGGTGGCACACATGGTTACGTGCTTGGACACTCACCAAAGATTGGTGGTTCAAACTCAGGCAGAGGCGCACTGGAAGAAAAGGCCTCACAGCCGGCTTCCAAAACGTCAGAGTCTTGAAAATTCTGTAGAGCACATTGCTACTTTGCACGTGGGGCAGCAGGAATTGGAATTTGCTTTGATTTAATGGGGTGTCATGGAACTCATGGTCTTTGCAATCACTTGCTATGCATCAGAGAGCTGGACAATGGCTAAGGATGACAGAAGAAGGATTGATGCCTTTGAGTTGCGGTGCTGGGGAAGAGTCTTGAACAAGAAAACAAATCGGTCTGTTTTGGAGAGGGAGAAACCAAGTTTCTCCGTGGAGGCTAGGATTTTGAAACTCCAGGTCACATACTCTAGGCTGTGGGCAGAAGGACTGATCCTGGGAGAAGAACATCAGAAGGGTGGGGGGACAGCACAGGAGAGGAAGACCCCAGATGAGATGGACTGATACGGTAACTGGGGCAATGGGGGCAGGGGTGTTGGAGTCAGTGAGACTGGCTCAGGACAGGGCAGGCTTCAGGGCTGCTGTACATCGGTTGCTATGAGTTGCAGGTGTCGTTGGCACCTCACAACAACAACATGAAACTCTACTTTGTGGAGGGAGGATAGGGAAGTAGACTCGATGGCGTCTCACAAGCTGGTGTCTGGGAGAACATTCCAGAATTGGGAACAGCACGTGCACAGCCCTGAGGTGACAATATAACAAAGAGGCTTTGGCTGCCACAGGCCAAGTAGAGGTGATGGGTTGCTGGGGGCCTGGGTAGAGCTTAGAATTTTGTCCATGGTCCACAAGAGCCCAGAAGACGCCTGCTAAGGTTTTCATGATTGTTAAGTATCGTGTGTGTATGGAAGGACGTACAGACTGCAGATGGACTGTCACAAAGTGAGCACGTCTGTGGACGAGTCGAGGCTGTGGCCCCCACCATGTCGGTGGAGCTCCTCTGTTCCTGATAGAAACGGAGCCACCAGTGCTTCCCCGCCACTCCCAGTTTCTTTAATTCCACGCGACCCCAGTGGGACGCTGGTGGGATGCCGGCTGCCAGGGCACCCCTCTCCCACTGACAGGCACCCCAACGACAACTATAGAAAGTGCTGGCTGGCCTCCAGGGATTACAGGCCCCATTGGCTATTTCTTCTGGAGATTCCCAGGTCCTTCTTCCAAGCCTCCTCTGGTTAATCTGTGCCTTCCAGAGATGCCAGCCCTCTCTCCACTCCTGCCCCCTGGCTTGCCCGAGACACTGTTGTCCCAAACCTTAGAGCAGGTTAAGGCTGAGAAGGGAGCGTGGAGGTGTCCTTCCCTCCTGTCCTCTACAGAGGATGGAGGTGGAGGTCTCAGCTTAACAGTGAACGCTCATGCTGGAGTCCTGTACACCAATCAGTAAAAACGGTGGCATGTTTGAGGTCATCCACCCAACATCAGGGTAGCGTAGCCTCGTCTGAGGAGCATGCACTTTATGACCCTCTGAGCCCAACTTCCTGGCTGTGGGGCCCCTGGGAAGCCCTTTACTCCCGTGGCACAAAGAGCTGACTCAACCTCAAGCCCTGGACAGCTAACCTCTGGGTACAAGAAGGTGCACCTGGCCCACGCCATGAGGTTTCCAATTACTTCCTGTACATCTGAAAGTCGGACAGTCATAAAGGTGAGCGAAGAAGAATCAATAGGTCTGAAATGGTGGTGCTGGCAGAGTTCTGAATATCCCATGAATTAGTGTCCAAAAACACACGTACGTCTTTCGGAATGTGCAACCCGTGTGCTCTTTAGAAGCAAGGACGGTGAAACTCCTCATTCTCCGGGCATGCTGTCAGGAGGGCCCAGTCCTTGGAAAAGGACATCATGCTGGGAAAAGTGGCAGGTCAGCAAGAAAGACCCCCAAGGAGATGGTCTGCCATAGTGCCTCTCACAATGGGGTCACGCGTTGGGGGGACACCGTCAAGACAGTGCAAGGTTCAGATTTGTTCACAGGGTCGCCGCGGTACAGCTGACACCACACCTTCTGGGGTGGACCAGATGCCAGAGCTGGATGCAGAGGGGCACTGCGGGACCCCTCATTCCCACCACGGGCGGCACAGGAGAAGGCACTGGGACTCATGAAGTCCTTGTGCTGGGCGAGGGGGGCCCTCACAGCAGTAACAGAGAGGCAGGAACACAGCGGCCGACCTTCTCACATCTTTATTTGAAAGGCACAGCTAAACCCCCCCGCTCTACAGCTTCTCCGCAGAGATCAAACGACGGCACGCACACAGGGAAAGCCCAGGCTGGAAGGCTATGTACAGACACGCGTGTGGGCGGTGCTTTTTTTTTTTAACATTTTTTTCCTTTTTCTTAATATCCCCTTTCTTAAAAGACAAGCTAGTGTACTGGAAAAAGAAAGAAATATAACAAAAAGCAAGACAACTTGAGTACCCTCATCTTTATTTGGGAAGGGGAGGAGGGGATGTCTGGGTCTCCCACCCCCACCCCGCGGGTCCCCACTAAGCTTGCTGCCCTCTGCCCCCTCTTCTGTGGGGGAGGGGAGAGGGCTGGGTGGGCAGGGGGTGTCCTAGAACAGGAGGAGGTGGAGGAAGGTGCAGAACTGGGTCTGGGGGTGGAGGGAGACAGGGGGTGCCCGGGGGCGGGGGCAGCTAGCATCGTTATCGCATGCAGTGCCAGGGAGGGTGGCCGTGGTGTGTCCCCCCAGGGCCAGGGGGCGGACTGTCAGTTAACACGTGTGCAGAACAGGGACGTGCAGGGGGTGCTGAAGTGTTGAGGTTCGCTCTACTAAGACCTGCCTCCCGGTGACGCCCTCCAGGCCTGGGGGGATGCGGCCAGTGGTGGGAGCCCCAGAAGGGTTGCCCGGGAGGGTGGGGAGGTGTGAAGCTAGCCGCTGGCCACGCCCCGTGGAGGGGACACGCTGTGCAGTTGGACGTGGTTCCGAACCTGGGTTCCCGAACCTTCCTGGCCGTGTGCGTCGGCTCCCCGGGCCCTCCCCCATCCCGGCCGCTAATCGGACTTCTCGCCCTCGTCCTCCTGGTGGGCGTCCCCGTCATGCCCGTTCTTGTCTTCCTTGGAGAGGTGGGCCTGTGAGCCCAGCGCCGACAGCGACAGGAGCCCGGTGCCCGCGCTGACCGCTGGCAGCGACGGCGGCTGCAGCCCCACAGGCAGCGGGGTCAGGGGCAGGGCCAGGGCCTGCAGCTGGGACAGCTGGTGGGCTTGGAGCTGTTGCTGCAGGGGCGAGGGAGGGGTGTGTTAGCTGGCACCACCTGGAGGCCCACCCGCTGCCCACCGCCTGCCAACGCTGGGTCCAGGCGCCCCCCACTCCCGCCCACCCCAGGCCTGGACATACTCGGATGATGGAGTTCAGCTCAGGAGCAGTGACCTGTTTCGCCCGCTCGATGGCCCCTAAGACTTGCTGCTGGTGCTGCAACGAGGGTGGGGTGGGGACAGAGCAGTCAGGGGACAAGAAGCGCATTCAATTCAATCATCAAACTCGCCCCATCCAGGCAGTTTCCGCCCGCAGCAAACCTCATCGCATTTCTGAGTCTGTAATTACAACTGGAGGAGAGCCCCGCCATCTCTCCGGCTAAGGGATTTGAACCGCCAGAAACACATGCCCTTTGGGTCCGGGTTTACGTCTCTACAGACTGCACCACCGGAGCTCCCTGCCTGGCCAGTAAAGAAAAACCTCACTGGCCCTAAGTCGGAACCGGCCCATAGCTGACCCTCCAGTGTGTTTTCAGAGGCTGTAACTCGCACAGGGAGAGACCGCTTATCATTCTTTCAGAGAAGCTGGGAGATTTGAACTCCTGTCTTTGGGCTGGCCATGCAGCTCTTTACTCAGCAAGCCACCAGAGCCACCTGACTGGGCCATCAACATCCTCTCCACCTAACCTTGAAGTTGTTTTTCTATCCAACTATTTCCTTTGACCAAGCCTCAAAGTCCTAATCTAAAAAATGGGGCAAGTTAGAGAGACGCTAAGGAACCTGAAAGGGCTGGAGCAGAAACTGAAGAATGGGGTCTTTAGGTGAGTGACAGGAGCCCCCCCCCGCCCCCCGGCAGGTGTGAGGAACAAAAGCCTTTGTGCAGGAAGCAACCTGCCCAGGTGACAGGGCAATACCGCTCCCAGGCAGCTCCCAGGCTGGTAGACTGAGCTGGAAGATCCCAGGCCCCCTCCCTCGGCAGCTGGAAAAGGCCCAGTCGATTCTGGAAGAGCTAAAACTTGGGCCTCCGAAGTCCATCCGTACCGTCTGTTTCTTTTGCTACCAGATGCCTGAATCCACCAATTTCCCTTTTTGCTTTGACTGCTGGGAAGCCCCCACTTAGAAAAGAAAGCCTAAGGGCAGCAGGGACCCAAGTGGCTCCTTTCTTTGGGGCTTTCACTGTGTGTCCTCATCAAATCTCTTGGGCAATTTACCAAACAAAACGTCATCTGCAGGGCTCAGGGATGGGAGAGGGATGAGAGGAAGTGAGAGACTGCTGACTAGCGGAGAGAGGGAGCTAGAATTCTGACAGCACGGTGGGTGAACACTCAGCTGCTAATCAGAAGGTGGATGGTTTGAAACCACCAGCTGCTCTGCAGGAGAGAGATGTGGCAGCCGGTTTCCAGGAAGCCTGGAAAGCCCAGGGCTACGTCTGCTCAAACCTGCAAGTTAGGCTGCTAGGGCCCGTCGGGCCTCCAGGCAGGGGTTTGTTTCGGGTATGGGGAAGAGGAGAGGCCTCACAGAGCCTGCGGGCTCGACGATGGAGGGATCTTGATCTCAGAGAGTAAACCTTAGCCCAAAACTATCCTAGGAAGTTGTCTTAAAAGCAAACCAGAGCTGGACCCCTCCCAACATCCACCTTGAGCGGTGCGTTCACCTAAGAACCGACTACATGAGGTCACAGAGACAACAATTCAATGGGGCTAGGAGTGGAGCGGGCCCATGTTCCCCGGGGAGGACACGTGACAAAGGGCGTGAAGACAGGCGCACAACTCCAAGAGTGTCACCAATGCCACTCAAGCTGTGCGTGGATGCACCAGATCGGGGGACGTTCTGCCGTGTGTATCCTCAAGAAGAAGATACGGAAAACGAGCTGGACACGAGAAAGAGGCTGAGAGAACGCCGGGGTGTGGAAGAGGAGTCAGGTGCTGGCTTCTGTGTGGACACGTGCATGTGTGTGCCCCACCCCCAGGGTGTATGTCCGTGTGTCCCCACACCCAGTGGGAACCTCCACACTCAGTGTGCTTGCCCCCTCTCCCAGCATGCATGTGCGTGCACCCCCAAACCCGACGTCATGTGTGTGGCATTGTGCACGGGCATCTGTGTCCGCCTATCTCTGCTCCCATGTATGGGCAACGCACGATGTCTCTGCCTATGTCTGTCCGTGTGTCTCTCCATCCGTCGGTGTCTGTCTCCCTCTGTGTTCACCCAACTATCTGTGTCTCTTAACTGCATGTGCGCCTGTGTCTGTAAACACAGCTGTGTGCACGCCTGCCTGCCTCTGTGCTTGTCTACGGGAGCCTGTCTCTACACAACTATGTCTGTTTCCACGTCTGTGTCCATACGTACACCCGCATCTGTATGTACACGAGCCTCCACGCGTCTTTACTCGTATCTGCACGTGTGTTCGTGTGCACGTGTCTGCATGCTCCAGTGTCCATGTCTGTGTGTCTATGTACAAGTGCAGTTATCCGTATTTGCATACGTATCCGTGTCTTCTTGCGTTTACGTTGGTATCCAGATGTGCGTCATGTCTGTGCACATCTGTGTCTCTGTGGATCTTTAACGGTGTTCGCGTATCTCCAGGTCCATGTGTGCATCTATGGTCCCACGGACGTCACGTCTGTGTGTAACCGTCTTTGTGCATCTTACTCTCTGGACGTGTAGCTGGTCTCTGTGTGTCTGCATGTATCCCCGCCCACGTGTGCATCTGTGTTCACATGCAATTCACACCTGTGTGCATCTCTGCGTCTTTAACCACATCTGCACACGCAGTGGTGCCTGTGTGTGTGCGTGTCTGCATGCAGCCGTGTGCAGGCACCTCGGTGTATCTGTATGCAGGTTTGTGTGTGCTCAAGGGGCCCCACCGTCACCTGGATCCAGGCGCTGGGCGGGCTGCCACACAAGGCGGAAGGGAGGAGGAGGAGATGGGGGAACCGAGTGCAGGCTTGGCATAGGCCACGTTTCTCGCTGGGGTGAACATTCCACGCTGCAGGCTGGGCCCCTGCTTCCCAGCACCTGCACCGCCCCCGGCTGCCGCCGAGCCTGGGAGTCTCCCCGCAGGGGTGGGCATCGGGGAGGGTGCCTCGGGCCCCACTCACCTCCTGGGACAGGTAGGGCAGGACCTGTGCGCAGATGCCGTTCAGCCTCTTGACAATTTCGGCCTGGAACACACAGCGGGTTGAGCAGACGGCCGGCCCCAGAGGGTCGGGGCCTGTCTACTCGAGAGGGCACACACAGGGCCAAAAGTCAGGGCAAGGGGGGCTCTGGGGACGCCACGAGGCTGGTAGGTGGGAGGCACTCGTGAGAGGGAAGGAGGGTCGGTGACGCTGCTGCCATCACAATCCTATGACGTCACAGACATCACCTCACAGTATGCAGACAGCAATATCGTGGTGGGGGGAACTGCTATGGTGTTGGTAACCTCCCCTTGTGGGCACAAAGGAGCCAGCAGAGGGCCACCAGGCCCCCCCCCCACTTGGAGAAAACCTGCCCTGACAGCTGAAAGGGAACACAAGGGTGTGGGGTAACAGGATAACAGGGCTGACCTGGGGCTCTGCCAGGAGGCAGGATCCTACCCGCCTGGGGGCTGGAGAGAAACATACCTGCTTATGCATCTCAATGTTCAAGCCGTACGACATCTCGTAGTACTGTAGGGGGTGGTTGGGGGGTGGGCACCAGGGCAGGGGTTGGGGGACACGGAGACAGTAAAAGAAACAAGACAGGAGGAGACAGTGAGGGAGAGTTGGGGGGGGACAGAAAGAGAAGTGTGAGTGGCAGGGGTCCCAGTATCTGCTGGGCTGCAGGGGGAGCTGGAGGTGGGCGCCTCAGGTTTCAGCCCGGCCTGGCCTCCCACCTCCTGGATGGACCCTGCCCTTCTGCACACACTGCCCCAGCTCCTAACCACTTATGCTTTGTGGCTGTGAGTGGTCCCAGATGCCCTAAATAATCAAGGTTAAACCAAGGCTGCTGGAGCCCTGTTCTGGGGTCGGCAGGCCCCGCCAACGCCCTGAGTCCAAACTGATCCCTCCTCTGTGCGGAAGCCTTCCGTGGTTCCCCATTACCTGCTCCTGGGGTACACTTACTTCATTTCTAATTATCCATGCCCTACAAGCTCCTATTCGTCCTTCAGTACCCCAGGTGCAGTGCCCCATCCTCTAGTCTGTTTCCATCTCTCCCTATCCCAGGGGGTCCCCACCCCCTGCCCCATGGAAGGTCACAGACAGGGTGGGGTTCCAGCGGCTTGATGTACCGAGCGGGTAATACGGCCAAAACAAAGCGGGGAGACTGACACGCAATCTCCACCTGCAGGTATGAAATCAAGCAAGTGATCCTGGCAGCTTTGGAGGGCTGGGCCTCAAGTGTCAGGCCAAGGAATGCAGTGACACCCTCAGCAGCAGAGCTCCAGGGAGGGGCTGGCCGCTGGCCAGGGGAGTCCTCCTTCAAAGCTCAGATGTGGAATGGTTAAGTGCTGGGGGCGGGGAGGGACCCTGCAGTGCCCCCCACCACCACGTCCGTTTCTGGCTCTCACCACCAGGCAGCAGCTGCCAAGGACAGCCGGGGGAGCTGGCAGCTCAGGCCGCAACCCGGCGGTTTGGCACCTGGGTCACTGCCTCGGCCGGCAGCCAGGCCAGTGCAGTGGCCTCAGCACGGCAGGGGCCGCTGAGCGGAGGATAGACCCCAGGCACTCCCAGAGGAGGTGGCTGTGGTTCAGGCAGCAGCTGCCCGCGAGGGCGGTGGATCTGGGCCGCCCCCTCCACGTGGCTACTACCTGCATGACCGAGGGGCTGCGGGACATTACCATCACGTAGTGACGCTGCATCTCCGACTTCTCACTGGCCAGCTTGTCACACTCGAGTTTCAGGCTAAGGAAGGACAAGGGACAGGGTGCAGGGACCACGTCAGAACCCTCACAGTGCAGGAGGAGAGACGGAGGAGATGAGGGCCCTCATGTCCCTGGCAAAGCCACGCTCGCCCACTGCTGGAAGGTCAACCCAGGGAGCCCGGTGGGGGACAAACACACCCAGCTGGGCTTGAGCATGGAGAGGACACAGCAGGTGGAGGGGCCCCCGTGGCACAGTGGGGTAAGCATTCAGCGTTCATCTGATAACTGAAATGTCAGCGGTTCTAATCCACCAGCTGCTGTTAAGAGAGGAGACAGTCTGGGCCTATAGAGGCCGACAGCCGTGGAACTGACTGGACAGCAGCAGGTCTGGGGGACATCGGTCAAGGAGTCGCACAACCATATAAAGGGGGCCAAGAAAGGAGCTTCGAGGTCTGTCGGTGGAAAAGGTGAGAACGACAAGATGAGAGCAAATGCACCCCCGCTGGGGCAGACAGGGATTCTAGGCCCTTCTACAGTCGCTGGACAGGGCAGGTGGTAGTGTCCTTGCTCGGTTTCAGGGTGACGTCATAGTGGGATGATGTAATGGTGTCCAGAGAGGGTGAGTGGCTGGCTCAAGGTCACACAGCCAGGAAGCAGGAGAAACAAACAGTGACAAGAATGGAGGCTGGGAGTGGATGGAATTGGGATTCTCCCCACGGTCCCGGCTTCTCTGTGAGGCCCATTTCCCAAGGTGCAGGGTGGGCAGCTCGCAGCCCCTGGACCCCTTCCTCCATTCCTGCATGTGGGGTGACAGACACCCATACTGTCTCTCTCCCTGACTCCCCAGGAAAAATGAGGAGAGGGCTTTCCCAAAGACTCCCAGGAGGGGGTCAGAGCAGGAGGGAGCCCACCACCCAGGAAATTAATTAAGGGGTAACAAATCATTTTTTTAAGCTACTGACACCAAACCCCAGGACTGACAGTCCCTCCATGCCTACCACCCCCATTGTAAGAGACCAAAGGGACTTAGTCCCTCCGTGCTGTGTGATCCTAAGCAAATTCCTCCCCGTCTCTGAGCCCTGCTCCCCTGGTGCCAAGTACCAGCCTCCCAGATGACTCTCCCAGATGAATGGCGAGAACAGGGCTTACACACATCTAGTGCTCTGTGAGTGCTTGTGACGATGACAGCCACCCCACGAGGCAGCTCTCCAGGTTCAGAGAGAAACCACAGCTGGGCTTCCTCTGCCCCTCACCAAGGTGTCTTTAAAAACATGCATTTGTTGGCAACACTGAGAGTTTAAAAGTGCAATTTCTCCCCAAGCCCTGGGTGGCTAATCCTATGTGTGACCCTGATGTGCTGGAACCCCCTTAAAGCACGGCAGGGCACCTAGGCCCAGGCAGACCCCAAAGAGCCCAGCTGGCTCTCTATCACCCCGAGGTGGGCTTAGATCAGGTGACTTGCCAAGTCACTGGGCAGTGAATGCAATGAGTTCCTGGGGCCTGCCTGCCAAGCGGAATTCAGTCCCTTCGGGGACCTGTGCCTCAGTTTCTGCATCTCTAAAATGGGTATAATAATAGGACAGCAAAATGGATTGAACAAGAGGCCCTATGCGCAGACCCCAGCACGTGAGCAGTCCACAGAAAGGTGTCATTGGTTAAATCAGGAAACATTGTTCTGCCTGAGAATCCAGGGCCCTGCAGGCGGCCCTTCTGTGAATGGGGCACAGGTACTGGGAGGGGCAAGACTCCATGGGGACTTCTGGCCTTAGGGTCCACTTCTGATTCCTGGGAAAGGAGCTCTCCATGACAGAGAATCAAGAACTTGCGTTCTTAGGCCCAGAGAGACGGGCTTAAAGCACGACTTCCTTGCTGTGCAGCCCTGAGACAACCAGTAACCTCGCCGAACCCCAATACCAGGACCCCAGGGACGGTCAGAAGATGAAATCAGGGTGCAGAACCCCCTTTCTAAATCTGCAGGGAGCCAGCAAGCAACCTTCTCCCTGAAACTGAGAACAATTAAAACAGCGCAAAACAGGTTTCTTTTCTTTTTGGTCCCTCTCTCTGGCTGACAGCAGGGTCCGCCCCTCATTTCCTGTACTTTTTCACCTATAAGGGGCGGGGGCGTCGGCTCTAAAGCCAGACGAGTTTGTAAACCAACTTTCTTGCCTCAGTTTTCTCATCTGCGAAATGGGGAGATGCAATGAGAAGCCATTGGCCAAGAGCTTCAACTAGAAGCTGTCTGGCGATTAGCCCCTCCACTGCCTGCGGGAACACGTGTTTGTGTGGGGGGGGGGGGGGGGGCGACAATCTCGGGGACCCCTGGACTGGCCTCCAGGCCTCTGCTCACCTATGGTACTGGGCCTGCAGCAGCTGAAACTCGTCTTTGATGCGGTCGCACGAGTCCGAGGTGGTGAATTTGAGTTGCTGGGGGAGGTGCGACGAGCCCTGCGGGGTTGGTGGGGGCGGCGGGTCAGGGCCAGGGCTGCTGGACGCCCCTCCCTCCCGGCCGCCCGCGCAGCTGCAGCTGCGCCCCCCTCGCGCCCCACTTCCTGGGCCCGTGTTTACAGCCTCCGAAGCGGCCCCCGCCCCCGCTTCCTGCCCCCGCCTCTCCCGGGGAAGCCGAGGGGGTGGGTGCGCCCGTCCCCCGCCACCTCCGGGCTGTGGGGGTGCGCCTTAAAACCTGCCCTTGACTGGGGGGCAGGATGCGTCCTCTACCGCCCTTGCCAAGCGCTGGGGAGGGGGGTGCACATCTGAGTGCCCCGAGGCCTCCCTGCAAAGTCCCCTTGGGGGAGGGGCGTCTCCCTGCGCCCGTAATATTCTGGGGGGTCCTCTCCCCAAATCCCCCTCATCTTTTCCTGGGATCGCGCTTTTCTGGGAGGGGTGCGCCTTGGATTGGCCCCACACTCCAGGCCCCCCAGAGCTAGGGGTGATCAGTGAGGCTCCCGGAGCGCCCCAGCACCAGGCCAAGCTCGCCTACCGCCTAGCCTGGCTCAGGGGGAGGGGGTGCCCCGGAGGTGGAGACGGGGTACAGGGCTGGGGGCCCCCACCTAGCAGCTGGGGGGACTGGACGGAGATCTGGGAGGGCACTGGGCCCGGAGCTTGGGAGACTTGGCCCGGAAGCGGGGGGTGGGGGGACCAGGCCAGGGCGCTGCGGGGGAGGGTGCACCAGGCTCGGAGCTGGGGGGGGGTCCGGGCCTGGGAACTTGGGGGAACCAGGACCCGGAAGCTCGGGAGACCAGACCTGGAAGAACTGGGGCTTGGGGCCCGGGGCCCAGGCCGGGGGGAACTGGGCCCAGGAAGTCGGGGCTGGGGGGTGCAGGCCTGGAGATGGGGGTGTAGACCCAGGAGCTGGGGGGAGCCGGGCCCGGAGCTGGGGCGCAGGCCGGGAGCTGGGGGGGGCGCCGGCCTGGGGCCGGAAGGGGGTCCGCGGCGGGCCGGGCGGGCCCCGCTTACCGAATGCCTGCTTTGTGGAAACATCATGTCAGTCGCG